GATGCATGATATGTGATGCAAATGATAATTCATTTTGATAGTTTTTCAAGGAACTTCAATAATTTTGCACACATCAATGGTAAAGGAATTTGGAACAACAAAAACTCACTTCATTAATCAAAAGCGGTAAATTACAACTTTGGGACAACAACCCAATAAAAGCAGTAAATTAACACTTTGGAACATGAAGCCCATAATAAAAGCAGTAAATTACAACTTCGGAACATGAAGCCCTTTTACAGAGTTTTACAAAATGACATCAATAAAATAAAACTAAGAACTAAAGATCACTCAGAATCATCAGATGAAGGACCAAATGCCAACTGTAACTGGAGCTTCCTGATCTTCTCTTCATAAAAGTCTTCCATCTCTTTCTTCTCAGCTACCAGTCGATCAATGATTTCCTTTTGTGGATTAGGAACGAGAGTAACGCTTACCGAACCTTCCTTCTTTCTCTTCCTTTCACTAGCATATTTCTTCAGTAAAGCATCCTTTTGACGAAGCTTCTCATCATGATCAATGAACCAGCCGTCTTGAATAAATAGCAAATCCTCCTTTTCCTTTAGTTGTCGAGCCAGGACCCGATTCTCATATTCAGACATATTATACTTTTCTTTCCAAGCATCTCTCTCGGACTTCATCCTAGCCAGATTTCCTTGGTATTATCCCATATTCTCAATAGGGATATCAACAGATGATGATGCAACAATAGGGAATAAAGGTTTCTCAGGTTTATAAGGCTTCTTGAGAGCACAAGCCCTAGCACGGACCCATTGTAGGTAAGGATCCAAAGAAACGGCACCCCTATGTCCTAACATGTCTTTCCCTTTCCTATGGATGTGGCGCCAAGCTCCTTCGATCTCCCTCTTAGCTGCCTGGTGATCTTGTCCTTCTTGTAGAAAGAAACCACTCACATGGATGTTGTTTGGCTTGTCCCTCATCGGGTATCCAAACTGACGGCGCGCGAGAATAGGATTATAGTTAATTCCTCCTTTCGTACCAAGAAGGGGCACGTCAGGAAAAGCACCACAGCTATCAATGATCTCCACGTCATGGTAAACTCGATTATACCAATCAATGTCGAAATGAGTGAGAGCCATAATTTTTGGCGCCCATCGCGGCTCCTTCTCGAGATCCCAGAAAACATCAGACCTAGGTAGATGAGAAACATACCACTGATACAACAACTGTGCACAACAAATAATCATCCCTCCTTGATAAGAGTTTCGAAGATGGATGGAGTAGTAGGTATCTCCTAGCAGCGTAGGGACCGGATTTCCAATCAAGAAAATTCTGATGGCGTTGATATCCACAAACTTATCAATGTTAGGGAACAAGAATAGACCATAAGCGAGTAAAGCAAAGACGTTTTCAAAGGCAATAGTATCTTTTATCTCAGTGAAATGACGAGCTTTCCTCAACAAAAAATGCGCAGACAAGCCTCGGATTCCCCCTTTTGTAGTCATGTTCTCCTCTATCTCTGACTTCTTCGAGTGGGTGATGGTCGCTATCTCGTGAGATTTGGGTTCCACTTCTAAGCCAGAAAAAGGAACACAGTCGGTGATCGGCAAACCAAGTATGTAGGAGTACTCTTCTAAGGTGGGCATTAACTGGTAATCCGGAAAGGTGAAGCATTGGTACAAAGGATCGTAAAATTGGACCAACGTACCAAGGATGCCTTCTTTCATCTTGTGCTTCATGAGAGGTATAATGGACCCATACTTTTTCTGAAAATCCGTCGGGTTCTTGATCTTAGGAATTAAACTCTTCAGTTCTTCAATCTCGGGCTCCTTAAAACTAAAACTTCGAGTGTTTCTCCTTCCAAATTCCATAATAATAGTACCTGAGATATCTGCAAAAATCATTCTTAAGTTCCTTGAAAAACAAGTTTTTTACAAAAAATGTTTATGGATGTATGGATGAATGATAATGCAACAGTTACAAATAAGTTCACAAATATGGGGTTCAAAGGTTCAACGTTTCGAGCATGGAGTCAAAGGTAAAGCCCACCCCAAGGTATGTACTACGGTTTAATCACACCCGTAAGACAAGGTTCTAAGAGTTCCCAGAGTCTACATTCCTCCTTCGGATATTACCAAAGTCTTGATTACTCAATAATTAGCAATATTCTCAAGAGAAACTCATCCGAGCGTAGCATCGCGTGACAACTACTTCCGGATTACTCCGTTATAGTCTCCGCGCTACACCTAAAAGGCCAAGATGGGTTAGGGTTCTACGGTTCTCAGCTTCTCTGGCTCCCAGGTCGAAAATAATAATGTCTTCCCGATTACTCGGTAAACAAATATTACGTTCAAAAGGGCCTTCCACTGAGTGGGGGATTTCATGCCTCCTTCTTCGGGATTACGCCCTCAAAGTTAACATGACTATACCACCCGTCCTATTCTTAAGTGTAACTTAATCCGGATATAGGATTCGTCCTTTGCAAAAACCCAAACAACCCCAATATAAACACATAATCAAACAAAACAAATAATAATAAAACAGATAAAACAAACTAGGCTTAACCCACTTAGGGATGGACCAGCAAGAGGTCAATCTTTCCCCAGCAGAGTCGCCATTTCTGTAGCGATAAAAAATGTAACGGGGTAAATCAGAGATCGAATTATTAATTAATTTGTCTCACAAAAGCAAGAGTCGCCACCGCGCTTTATTATTTCCAAGGGAAAAGGGAAAAGAGCGAAATAAAACCCTAAAGTATGCAATGTAAAATAATACTTTTAAAAGTAATGAAAATACAAGGCATTTTAAAAAGAGGTCTAGAGTTCGGGGGTTGGTTATACAATGGGAAGGTATTAGCACCCAATGCATCTATAGTATTCTATAGGAACCTTTTGAAATATCTGTTTTTTTAAAAAAAGTTTGTTTGATTGAAAATTGTTTTGGCCAAAAAATGGGTATGGACAAGTTTTCGAAAATATGACGACCTAACGTCAAAGTTTTGACTTAAAAAGTGTGAGTTTTGATCAATTGAATATTTTGAAAAAAATTATCTTAAGTTTTTTTTAACAAAGTAATAAACGGAAGATGAATGAGGGTATTCGCGCTATGTGTTTGATGACATGAAGTCGGCAAAATTAAACAATTCCCTTGGATTGAAACGGACGAAAGATATGCGGATTAACGATCAATTAATTAAAATTATAATTAAACAATTAACTAATGAAATTTAAATTATACTAGCATGCATTTTAGCAATTAAATAAATAACCAAAAGTACATGAAGATTAAATCATAGATTTTAAATAATTAAACACATGACAAAAATTAAATCATGAAACATGTATTTTTGAATAATAAAATAACAACACAAAAATATAATAGAAAAAGTATGTTTTCAAAATTAAATAAAAGGTGGAATTTTAATTAAATGTTTTTATGTGCTTTTATAATAATTAATAATTATACAGTAACCTAGATTAATAATTAATAAGTATGTTAAATAATATGGCCAAAAGAAATAAAAGATAAAAAAGTCTTCCAACCAAGACTTGAACCCAAGACACTTAGAATGCTACTAACACCTTTTACCAATTGAACCAATGCTATTTATTCATTAATAGCACAAGTTAAATAAAAAATAAGGAAAAACTGAATTTTGAAAATGGACTAGAAGGGCCCAATGGGCCATCCGGGTTGAGGAAAAAGGAAAAGAAAAAAAGATGGGAAACCCTAGTACTAAGAGGCGCCGCGCGGCTGCTATTGCATAGGGAAAGAGAAACAAAAAAATATTATGTTTATTGGAAAGAGGAAAAAGAGGAGTTATAATATTATTATGTTTTGGGAATAGAAAATAGTATATTATTATTATTATGTTGATACTGTACTTTAATGGGAAAAGAAAAGAAAAAAAACTAGATCTAAACTAAATTAAAATTTTAAAATTAGTAAATTAAATCTAAACTGAATTAAAATTTCAAGGTTGCTAAATTAAATCTAAAACAAATAAAAGTTCCAAAGTTACTAAACTAAATCTAAATCAAATAAAATTCTAAAATTACTAAACTAAATTTAAATCAAATAAAAACTCTAAAGTTATTAATTCTAAATCAAATAAAAAAATCTAAAGATATTAAACTAATTCTAAATCAAATAAAAAATCCTAAAGATATTAATTCTAAATCAAATAAAAATTCTAAAGTCACTAAACTAAAACTTAAACAAATAAAATTTTAAAATTAACTAAATAAAATCAAATAAAATTCTAAAGTTTCTACAATGATTCTAAGTCTAAACTAATTATTAAAACTCTCTAATTAAAGACTAAATATTTAAATAATTATTATTTTTAAATTAATTTAAATAACAACAATAAAAAGAAATAAAATTAAACTAATTATAACAAGACAAAATGAGTGGTATCAAATAGAACAAAAACTAGGGCGCAAAGCAAAAAAATTCGGAATTAGGCTTAAAATTGAACTCAACAGAGCCCAGCTATCATAACAAATAAAAAGATTAAAATAATTATATAAAATAATTATATAAAATAATTAAAAAAAATGCTGGGCTGAATGAGGGAATAAATTCGGGTGGATTTAATGGGGAGGCCCAAACCCGAAATTTGTAAGGGAAAGCATTAACCCTAGTTGTAGGAAGGATGGAGCGGCTGCTAACATCTTGGAATTGGTCAAACAATAAATATTAATTAATTAACACAAATAAAAATAATAATTAACTAAAAATTAAATCAAGAGAGAATCAAGCGAAAATCTTTTTCTCCCTCTTACTAATCCTAATAACACCCGATTAAATGCCATAAAAGAAATGATAAACTCTCTCTCTTGCTTTCACGTTCTCATCCTCTGCTTTCAAAACTGGTTTCATTATGCTTCTCATATCTCTCTCAAAAATACTCCCTCCGAACTTTACTTCTCTCAATCGATCCCTCTGTCGATTCCTCCTTTCTTTCTTAAAACCACACAAAAAAAAATCTATTCCTCTCTCACTGAAAATTTCCACTCTGTCTAACAAGAACAACAATGGGTTCGTCTCTTTGTTCTTTTTTTCCTGATCTTTTTCTCGTTTCTACTACTGGTTTCTCTCTAATTTCTTTCCTCTTCTATCTCTCAGTTTTTCTCCTCAATGTTTTTGTTGATGGTTACTGTGTTTCTATGAAAAGATCCCCTAATCCGTCACCCTCTCTCTTTTGTTGTGTATGAAATGTTATATAGACAGATGATAGAGTTTTAGGAGGTAATTTTGAATGGCTTTTGAACAAATATGATGATCCGATTTATGGCTTTTTGATACAGGTTTTGGTGTGTGTTATTTTATGCAATTTCTGGACTGATATACTTGTCTTATAACAGGGCAACAGAGGTTATTTGACTGTTTTTCTTTGCATTATTTGTGCAGGTTTTGCAGGTTTCTTGTTGCAAGTCTTTGGACTATTTATGATACACTGCAACAATATGGTTAAAGTGGACAACAAAGAGGCTTTGGAGTATAGTATTTGACAGCATATTTAGACTTACATAGACATAACATAATAATTATAATATTAATAATAATAGTAATGACAATAATAATAAAATAAACTGTTAGTAAAAACTAAATTGAAAAATACAAAAGTGAAATAAAAGAGATATTAAAATTAGTTCTAAAATCTATTAATAATTCAACTTAAAAATATTTCAAATGGAATTATAATCAAAATTTACACCAAAATTAATCATAAAAGAAATAAAAATAAATGAAAAATCAAACCATATATTTTCAAATTTTTGAATTGCAACTAAAGAAATACAAAATAGACTTACATACTCAAAAAATGTAAAAAGCAAAAGAACTTATATGTATTTTGAGATTTTTTTGAATTATCAATGAATTAAATATATAAATTAAATGAAACTAACAAAACTATAAATTTTTTATATTTTGGATAAAGTAAAACTGATATGAACTAAATATATTTTGTGGATTTTCTTTTTATGAAAATAAGAATAAAAGAAAGATGATAAAAAATGAAAAAAATTCATGATTTAGTAAAGTCGGACAAAAACCAGTTAAATTTCACTAAATTCACAACAATTTCTAACGTTTCTATTTTTTGGTGGATTTTCAAAGCATAATCATCCCTTGACTTGTAAAGAAAAGTTGTAGTTGTTGCAAAGGAGAATCATATGTAAAAGAACCACTAAAAAATTGTCGAAATTTGAAGAAGTTATGAATTTTGAAACCTGACTCGAGAATTGGCAAAAATAGGCCGAATCGCTTGTGAACACTTGCTATGTAATAATGCAGATGGGAGGTGGTATCTTAGGTCAAAATTTGGGGTATGACAGCTGCCCCTATTTAAGTTTCTTCTATCCGGAGATATGAAGATTAAAATCTTCGTCTCGACGAGATTGAAGATACTTAAATACATAATACGCAATTTTTGCCCTAAGATACCGCCATTATGTTTGTGATATGAATGTAGTATTTAAATTCACAGAGAATGATATTGTATGAGACAAGATAATGCTGGAGAAACCAAACACCAACAAAACACAGGAACATAGATTATACACTACTGGGGAAATGAGCCATCGACTTCAAATGATAGACTCTTGACGGCGAATAAAAATTTGAGAGAATACGACCTTTGACCCTAACAAAGGAGGCATCTTGCATAGGCCACAAAAACATATTATTGACCCAAAATAACAGTGAGTTCACAACTCAAGGTCAAAGATAGACAAAAGATGTACCAAATTTGCTGATAATGGATTACCGACTTCTGAAGGTAAAGATTCATAACAAACTTCTCTGCGAGATTTCCGGAGATATACCAATTAATGCTGAAATAATAATACGGTTGTAGATACACAAGCTGCTCAAATAAAGAAGCTGCCACTTGCTGTCTTCCAAAAATACTATGACATACAAGCTGCTCAAATAAAGAAGCTGCCACTTGCTGTCTTCCAAAAATACTATGACATACAAGTTGCTCAAATAAAGAAGCTGCCACTTGCTGTCTTCCAAAAATACTATGACATACAAGCTGCTCAAATAAAGAAGCTGCCACTTGCTGTATTCCAGAAAAATAATAACGTACAAGTTGCTCATGAAGAGACTGCCGCTTGCCGTTTTCCAAAATAATAATAACGTACAAGTTGCTCATGAAGAGATCACCGCTTGCCGTTTTCCAAAAAATAATAACGTACAAGTTGCTCATGAAGAGACCGCCGCTTGTCGTTTTCTAACGATGTCTATAACGTACAGGTTGCTCATGAAGAGACCGCCGCTTGCCGTTTTCCGAAGAATAATTCAGAAGAAAATTGCGATAACACTACCAGAGAATAAAATCTTCGTCAAAGGGAACCATGAATAGATCCTTCCCGAGGAGATCAAATACTTAAATGCGCAAAATAAATGCACCATTCATCTAGGTTGTTTAGCTTGGAGAAAAACCACGAGATAGCCTATGCAAGAGACAAAAACTCCCTCCAGGAATAAACCAGAGAGAAGACAATCAAACAAGACTCCACCCAATGAGAAAATAACTCGACTGGGGGTTCATCCTATCCAGAAATGGACAAGGAAGGCTAAATCAAAAATTCATCCACGAGGATTAGCTCAGTTGGGGAATTTAGAAAGGAAGCACATTTTCTGCCTAAGTTAACCTTCTACTTGGAAAGAAACATGTACGCTGTTTGAATAAACAAAGTATACAACCCAAAATCAACGACAAATGTGAATATGCATGCGTGATATAAGTGTAAATGAGTAAATGAATGTTATGCTGATAAAACAAACAGATGGAATATCTTGAAGACGATAAGATGTCACGAAATAATAGATACTCAGCCAATCTTAAAAAGACGAAAAATAACTGGAACTGGAACCACAAAACAACGTCAGAGCGTATCACGCTACAAGGCTCAAGTCTTCTGAGGAGAAAAGTATTCAAATCCAAACTTCTAATACCAATAGACCACTAGCATGATACAAAACGTACCACACTTCAGAAATCTGCTCAAATAAAGATAACTGAAACAAAGCTTAACTGGAAATGCTGGGGAGTCACCAAGCTTAGTACCACGAGAAACGCAAGTTTACACAACCAACACCTCATGACGATTTTGAAAGAAAACATGTTCATCATGCAAGGATAAATTACTGTATTGTTTTGCATTTCATGGCTTGACCATCCTTGGAACAACTGTTAATATTCCTTTCAGTATTCAACGACACATTAAAAATAGGAATGCGTTAAATAGATTTGTTTCAATTATTTCCGTAAAAGCTGAAATTTTGCCCACAAAAAAGATAAATGCTCAAAATTTCATTAATAGGATGGTAGTTCGCTAACAATGCGACTCCAATGGTTTACAATTTTTTTTTTGGGAAATAGTACATGAGAGAAAAAGGTTACACAAAAACAATGATCACTATTCTCCCTAACCACTTTGAATTCCGAAATGTGCTCAAATGCCAAGACTGGTCTGACCAAAAGCTTGCCTAAGCCGCCCTTTCGGGTTTTCAACTTAGCAAACTATCAACTCAAACCTAAGCGAAATATTTCTTGACTGCATCGGTGTTCATGGAGCGCGGGAGCTCTTCACCGTCCATATTTGTGAGAATCATGGCACCTCCAGAGAAAACTTTCTTAACGACATACGGTCCTTCATAATTCAGAGCCCACTTGCCCCTAGAATCAGGTTGGAAAGATAATATCTTTTTGAGCACAAGGTCACCTTCTCTGAACTCGCGTGGTCGAACCTTCTTATCAAAATCCTTCTTCATTCTCTGCTGATATAATTGACCGTGACACAATGCTGTCAATCTCTTTTCTTCAATTAAATTCAACTGATCATATCTACTTTGACACCATTCAGCCTCAGAAAGTTTAGCTTCCATCAACACTCTCATAGACAGAATCTCAACCTCCACGGGGAGTACTGCTTCCATACCATAAACTAGGGAAAATGGGGTTGCGCCTGTTGAAGTTCAAACTGAAGTACGGTATCCATGCAGAGCAAACGGAAGCATTTCATGCCAATCTTTATAAGTTACCACCATCTTCTGGACAATCTTTTTGATGTTCTTGTTAGCAGCTTCAACAGCCCCATTCATCTTTGGTCTGTAAGGAGAAGAATTATGATGTTCGATCTTGAACTCCTCACAAAGCTCTTTCATCATCTTGTTATTCAAATTCGAACCATTATCAGTGATGATCTTGCTCGGGATGCCGTATCGACAAATGATTTGATTCTTGATAAATCTGACTACCACCTGTCTGGTTACATTAGCATAAGATGCTGCTTCCACCCATTTAGTAAAATAATCGATCGCTACCAAGATGAAACGATGACCATTTGAAGCTTTGGGTTCAATCATTCCAATCATATCAATGCCCCACATAGAGAAAGGCCAAGGTGAAGAGATAACGTTGAGGAGGGTCGGTGGCACATGTATCTTGTCCGCATAAATCTGGAATTTATGACATTTCTTCACATATTTGCAGCAATCAGATTCCATCGTCATCCAATAGTAACCAGCTCTCAACATCTTTTTAGCCATCGCATGTCCGTTGGCATGAGTGCCAAAGGATCCTTCATGTACTTCTTGCATCAGCATGTCTGCTTCATGTCTGTCTACACTTCTGAGCAAGACCATGTCGTAATTCCTCTTATACAATACTTCTTCATTGAGGAAGAAACTGCTTGCTAATCTTCTCAACGTCTTCCTATCTTTATTGGATGCCCCAGGCGGGTACTCTTGAGTTTGAAGAACACGTTTAATGTCATAGAACCACGGTTTGTCGTCGGTGACCTCTTCTACTGAGAACACATGAGCAGGTCTGTCGAGGCGCATAACCCGGATTGTAGGCACATCGTTCCAACCATTCACTTGAAACATTGAAGACAAAGTAGCTAAAGCATCAGCCATTTGGTTTTCATCTCTAGGGATATGATGTAATTCCACTTTGTTGAAGAAAGTTAACAATCGTCTAGGCAAAAATTAGGGATCAAAGTGTAACACTATGTCTCATTGGATCACCTTGCAACCAAACTTCGGTATCAACTATCAAGCTCGGACGACACTAAACAATCTGACCTACCTTCAATCAAGTAGCAAAGTGATTAGATGCTCGAGGACATAAAGGCAATAGCAGAGTTGGAACCCAGTGGGATTGTTCACATAGCTGTTTTTCTTTGTTACAAATTGTATAAATTCTATTTGTTCGGCGGCGTTCTCTTACTAGGACGTCAGCCTCTTGTACAAAAAACGCCTATTTACAGGCCAAACTTCAAAGTCAATACAATTCATTTTAAAAGAAATTTCAGACTGTTTTTCCTTTATCTGTTTTGTTTTGCAAAGAACGTCCAATGTTCATTTTTGATATATGCATTTGACATTGATTGTTGCTCATGAATATTTACATGCGAAACAAAAGACAATTACTCGTAATATTAGAAACAGGGGCAATAAGAATTGTCCAAGCTTTACAGTTGCTCTGTCCACCAGG